CATTTAAAAACTTCTGTTTATAGTAGAAATCTTTTCATTTTTAATTATTACGATTTTCATACATTATATTATTTTTACACCAAATGTCTTATCCCTTTTTCAAAAGTGTCTACTCAATTGATGAACTATTTTTTTTTTTATATTATTTGAAAGTGCATGGATATAATGACCTTTTTCATTGATTTATTTAATCTTTTAATTTTCATTTAAAAACTTCTGTTTATAGTAGAAAATATTCTCTTGGATTTTGTAATGGCCTTTATGTCTTTCATTTCTTAAATAATCAAATTTAATATCATTCATGCATACATTGTATCTCATTTCAAATCTTCCTAAAATATTTTTCTTGATTTTTAATTATGAAGATTTTTGTACTTTATGTATTTTTTTTAACAACAAAATGCCTCTTTAATTTCATATAGAAAATTGATTTTTGGATTTTGTGATTTTCTTAGGTCTATCATTTACTTGTCTACAGACTCCGGCGATTATGGAGAGAAATATGGACACCGTTGATAAGTCTATAATATTACAAGGTAGTGCCTCTTTAATTTCATATAAATTTTCTATTTATAATAGAAAATTGATTTTTGGATTTTGTGATTTTCTTATGTCTATCATTTGCTTGTCTATAGACTCCGGCGAATATGGAGAGAAATATGGATACCTTTGATGAGTCTATAATATTACAAGGTAGTGCCGTTGATTTTGTTTGAAAATGCCTAGCCAGAAGTTTGGGGCTGTATGTCTTGCCTTAGCATGGAAGACATGCTGCTGTACTTGGGCCCTTTGGAAGGCAAGAAACACGGCCATTCGCAATCAGCATGGACCTGATTTGGCAACCATTTTGGCGTTAAACGTTGGTATACACCGTTGTTTTTGTGAAAGGACTTAGAAGGCCCTAGAGGAGTGACGGAACATAACTTTTGCACAGGCTTTTGACTCAAAGGTGTAGCCCCCTGCCCACAAAGGATGACCCCTACTCTTTGGCTAGCTCCACTGCACGATTGAATTAAGATTCACTTTGATTGATCTTTTCAGAAGGGAGCAGCCCATGCTAGTGCCCAACTATACTCTCATGTCTATAGACTCTTAGTATACTCTTTCTTTCGATTTCACAATTTTTTATGGAACTTTCTAACAATAAAATTCTTATTAGCAAGTTCTCAACATATTGATAATGCTAAAAGATTGATTCTTCACTTTTATTTTTAAAAGATCACTTTTGAAAAAGTTGATCAGACATATTTGAAAGCATATGCACACATACATTTATGATTTATCATTAAGGTAATTGCAATAATATATAATAACAATTGACGATATGTGTGTGTGTATATATATATATATATATATATATATATATATGCTA